ATCTGTAACAGACATCATGGATCCATTTTCCACGCCTGCCTTTTTAACAGCCTGGGAATATGAAAGTGACAGTCGACCGATCTGCATCTCTTACGTTTAGTGCAAACATTAACAGTTACATGTCGGCCTCTGTCTCTCTCTTTAAACATACTTTCAAGCTTTTTGTTTAATGTCAGTCGGTGATCCTAGACTATAAACATTGTCACATGCTCCAAGCATAAAACACAAGAGAGAGAGAAAGAGAGAGAGAGAGAGAGAGAGAGAGAGAGAGAGAGAGAGAGAGAGAGAGAGAGAGAGGAAGAGAGAGATCGACCCTTATCTCTCCTCCGTTTGTGTTTGTTACTCTCTTGTAGCACCTACAATGCTTACATGACCTGTTTGTGTTGCAAGTGTCGTAAAACGTTTAATAAAACAAACACACACAAATACACACGCACACACACACACACACACACACACACACACACACACACACACACACAGAGAGAGAGAGAGAGAGAGAGAGAGAGAGAGACGAAGAGAGATAAAAGAGAGACAGAGACAGACAGAGAGAGAGAGAAAGAGAGAGATAGAAAGAGAGAGAGAGAGAGATAGAGAGAGAGAGAGAGAGAGAGAGAGAGAGAGAGAGAGAGAGAGAGAAATAAACAGATTAACACATTGGTACACAAAACAGAGATATGGTGATGATTGCACCTGTATAATGAAAATGAGCTGGGGAGCGATAGAATCGTTCTATATTGCTGAAAATAAAGATTATTTTTTTCATAAAGCAATCTGTCATGAAGATGAATAGCTCTTACATCAGCACTGTTGTTTAGGAAGACACATTAACTCTTTTTGTTTCTCTAGAGTACAGTTTCTCTGATACTACAAACCATTTTAAGCATATTCGATTGCCCGGAGAAGTTTTTGTGGCAGCAAAGACATGTTACCCATTCGATCAAAGCTAAAGAGTTTAGATCAGAGATAGGGACGGGGCACTTTCTCAGTACCATTGATCTTACCACGGAATAGTAGTCGTTGAAGCCGAGAAAGGGATTAGAATAAGACAATTTGTAAGCGGGACTATCCGCCAATGCTTTCCTTTCATAGTGTCTCCAGAAGAAAAAAGTGTCTAGGATCGCCTTTGGCGCGGGTTATTCGCTGGTGTCAGCACTTCGGATGCCTAAAAGTTGTAAGTCCTAACTTTAACTAATGTCCTCAAAGGGTGTTTCTACGACTTGGTGTTCATCGGACCTAAAATTGTGTTATGGGCTAAAAAGGAAGGGAGGAAAATTTTACTGCGTATGTGTGGAAATTGGGGAAGCGAGGGGGAAAAAAAGGGGGGGGGGGTACGTAAAATGTTGTTTTGTCCTTTCGGAAGAGTGTGGTTTCAAGAAAGGTGTAGATGAAACAGATGGCAACTGATGAGCATTCAAGAAGTCATAATACAGTGTTAAAGACAGGGATTAAATTCTTAGAGTTCAACTAAATAAAGACCCTTCCCCCCATAGCATGAACCGAGCACGCAATACCGAAAAACTGCGGGCAAGTCAGGGAAATATATTACATATAACTTGTAAACAACAGCAAACAATCAGTAACAGCGACAAAAGAACTAAAATATATCAGACAGAACCAAAGCAACGAAACTCGCCGAGCTTTTAGTGAGGAGATAATAAATTTGAATAACAAGAATGACCACTGGTCAAACCTGAAATGGACCCCTCAAAGAGAGAAATTAAACACACAGTCAGCTTTGGCGAAGGAGAAGGCGTCTCACTGAAGACTTGATTGCCCCCTCCAAGTTCCTTGTGAACACAGGGCAGCCGCCATGGTCAGCGCTAATTGACCTAAATGCACAGCAACCATTTCTTAGCTGGAGCTGGAATTTGATTAAAGAGTTGAACGCCCTCTGCATGGCATGAGGCACAGGGGAACGAGACGAACAACCGAAACAAGAGAGTACAGCCTGCTCTCTGGGAATACTTTTATCCAAGGTGCGCTTTTCACATTTCACACATGATTGGCCTTGCAAAAAAGAAAGGAAATTCTGCACTCTTCTTTCCCTGCCGTTTGAGGAAGAAAATAATATGTCTGCGCTCTTGCTATCGAACTTTTCGCCACTTTATTATTAATTCCATTTGAACGTTTTGCACTCTAGGACAAAGTACAGGAACAGCAGTCGCTGTATCGGTAGCAGTAAAAATAATACAAGGATTGATAGGGGGCTCTCGTGGCCTAGAGGTTAAGGTGTTGGCCTCTCATTCAAAGGTCCCGGGTTCGAATCCGGGTAGCGACCAAAAAAATTTCTTCTCTAAAATTGTCTCCTTTCACCTCCTTTCCTGCTCTCTAGCAATGTACTATTGTCTGCTTTCATTTCCACTTTCTGCCCCCACCCCCTCACCTCCTTTGCCCCCTCCTCTGGGCTCCTGACTCTTTCTGCAGCCTTTCTACTGCTACTCCTTGGCTCCTCCTTACTGCTGTGTTTCTGCCACACCCCTGATCTTCTGGTGGGAAAGATCTACACCTAGCCTTCTCGGACAAGGGCGAAAAATCCCGGAGGGCCCGTGTGCAAGTTGCGCACGTTAAAGATCCCTTGGTGGTCTAAAATCGATAAGAGTAGGCTTCGGCCGCCACCCGGGCAAAATTCAAAATTTCCTACCAACTGAAAATATTAGGTGTCTCCCGCGCGCTCATATGACCTATGCAGTTGCGAGCGCCGTAAAACACTTTACAAAAACAAACACAAAAAAAGGATTGATATGAAAGCTGTTAATTTTGTTGCTGTTGTTGTTGTTGTTGTTTTTGTTGTTGTTTTTGTTGTTGTTGTTATTGTTGTTATTGTTGTTATTGGTTTTTGTCTTTCTAGGAGAGATCTTTGCACGTGCAAACCGAAAGTACAAACTCGTCAAAAACACACATAAACAAAATGTAATGATACCATTGGGGGTAGAGTATACAAAAACATTTTTCTATGTAACAAACTTACAGATCGATATTCTATTCCTTTTTTATAATTGTATTTCTTTTTTTGTGTGGTGACTACAGTATTGCCCGCGAGGGTGAATCACACGATCGTATCAAGATTAAGTTAAGACTTTGCTGACTTAACTCCAGCTTTTATTTCTCAACCAGTGCAGTCTATTCGTCTTACACTGTTTACGTGTCCTTCTGTTCTTGTTCAGACAGTAGTTCACCTGTAAGACTTTTATTTCATATCTATTTAATATTTGTTTATTTGTTGTTGTCTTAAGTCTTTTCTACCTGTCTGTCCACCTACCTCTCTCCCTCTTCTATTTGACTAAGTCCCGTCTTTAGTATGCATCTTTCGTATCGGTCTGTCAGTCTGACTGTATGGCTATTGGTCGGTTTGTCTGACCGGTTTCCTGGATCTAAACGAAACCAAGGGAATAATATTGTCTTTCAGGAGCGGACTCCTCCTGGAATCGTCTAGTCAAACACGTGTTTCTCACGCACTCAACAGGTTTTTCCAGAAGCTCTTATCAACTCTACGATGCATGCGGCATCCCGGAGTTATCATAACAAGGGCAAGAAAGCTAGAGGTGTTGATGATTTGCGAGTTCTGTGTAATTATCTTATCTTACGCAGTGAGTGAAACACGCAGTCTGAGCACTTATGCTACAACACTAAATGAAAAAAAGATAACTGTTTCGTATCATTTAGTTCATTATTTCGTTTTTATATTAGAAGTCAGGTTTAACAGTATGCGAGAAAAGTACAATAGACGTGCCTTTGTGATAAAGATACAATTTATTAATTCATTATGAGAGCACCGAAGCGTAATAATACCATTTGATCAGTATGTAATTGCAATATTATCAGAGAGATGAAAGCACGACGAAGTACACAAAATAGAAATAAAAGTTAAGATATGGGTAGTATATCATTATAGGAACACGGGCCGAAATTGGCACTCATGTAAACACATACGTATCTTCTATATTTATTACATACAAAATAAATGAACGCTTTATTCCATGCATGTATGTGTCTGTTTCTATCTATCTATTTATCTTTCATCTACCTAAGTAGAGGGGAACTATCCATAGCATAAGTTAATCTTATGACTACTTCTCAGATGATAATATGAATAAGTGTTGGGTATCAGGCTCACAGCGGTGCTTGATCTAGAGATAGCACCTACTGTAGGCTTAGGGAGAACCGGCTAGAAATGCTGGCTTTTTATATCGCGCATTCCTTAACTTCGAAATACAATGTATACGACGTGCTGACACGGAGGGGGATCTTATCTCTTCTGAAATCTGCACCAAAGTGTCTAGTTTTTAATCTGCAGGTTAAAATACGCATTTATAGCACCACCCACCTCCGGAGATCACGTAGATATCGGTTTTTATCATTTTGCCACGTTCTTCTGGCCAAAAATGTGCTTAGATTACATCGTTATCTTTAATATTGCATTGCTAACTCTATAACCGAGAAGAGAAAAGAAACGTAGGTTAGCAGTGAGGCGTGTCAATTCAAAAGGAAAATGAGATCGACTTGAGCACCCCCCCAAAAAAAACAAAAAACAAACACAATACAAACAAACAAACAAACAAACACGCAAAAACAAAAAACAAAGAACTGGTATAAATCGGTTTGGACAACATCATTACAATGTGAAACAGTCTGTGCGAAAGAAGCTGTTTTTGTTTTTCAATGTGCGCACAATAATTTCTGCTTTGCCGTGTTTTTGTGTGACAAAAATAACAGACTACAGTGTTTTGCTTAGTTTAGTAAAGAGTTATGCGATCGGACACTGACAATTCCACGCTGCAAACTATTTGTCTTGGATGTTTGAGTCAACCAATCCCCAGTTAAAGACGATCCGATTTTTTGTGGATTTAAATCAATTTTCAAAACAGTCCTATTTCTTTTTTAAAAAGACAAAAAGAACCCAAGGCATTTTAAAATTTCAACAGGGCCAGGTTGACGTCACTTCATGTGCTCAAATACATAACCACGTCAACGGTGCTTCCAAAGAGTTGCATGCTTACCTTTTTAGTTCCCAAATGTTGAATGGTACATGGTAGTTCAGCTCTCCCGCCTTCCCGTACCGTCAGGTTCCTCTGGGTGGTCAGGAAAATGGGATCCTTAGGCACATTGGTGGGATGATAGGTATATGTATAGGTCTCCACGAATTCTGAAAAAAACGAATGTATCACACTTAATTAAAAGTGCAAGAGAAATCAGAAATCTATATAAACATTATATTTTTTTAAAAGCCAATTTTCGGAAAATCCAGGTTCCCCTCGAGCACTGTGTAGCTCGATCAAGTTAATAAAATTACAGAGAAAAACTTCACAAAAATCTCCACTCTGTCTTTAACATAATGTATGTGTGCGTCTCTCTCTCTCTCTCTCTCTCTCTCTCTCTCTCTCTCTCTCTCTCTGCGTGTGTTTGTGTATGCGTGGTGTATGTGTGTGTGTGTTCATGTATATAGTATAATAGGGAAATGGAAGAGATGGAAATTGATTTATTTCGTGGCAATTGGGTGATCGTTCGCACACCCAAGGATACAAATGGGCATTGAGTACGTTCGCAAGATTGTGAAGTACACGGCACCTTGGGGCACAGAGATTTTTTCGGTAAGTGTGGGGGAAGTAAGGGGGCGTTTGGGATTCACAATCGTGACTGTACACAGAGTATTATCCGCCCCACTGCGAACTCCTCCACTGTCCTTCTCCCTCTCCTCTCCTCTCCTCCCCGTCTCTCTCTCTCTCTCTTTCTCTCTCTCTCTTTCCCTCCCCCCCTCTTTCTCTCTCTCTCTCT